TACATGTATGTCCTGGATGCCCTTTGGACGTCCTAAGGACATCCTTGTGCTGTCTGGGCAATTAACTTTTAACATTTTTTTTTATTGTTAACACTTCTTCTTTTTCTTCTTCTTCTTCTCCTTCTTCTTCTCTTATTTTTAAACTAATAATAGTATTCAAAAAGGATGATTTTTAAAATTTTCAATTCAAAATGGAATTTTTAAGAGATACGCTCAAATACGTCCGCACCCGACCACGGCCGTTTGTCGACTTCTTTTTTTTTATTAACATGCATACAAGTTCACAAGTAATAACAATTAATAATTTAATAATTCCGTCAATTCTGTACAATCATTGCGGATAAAATAAAAATTTGCGGATAGAAATTGGCGGAACGAACGTAAAAAAGATTGAACCAATCACAAGCGTTCCGCCATTCCGCTATGCGCATACATTCCGTACCATGGGACCGCACCATAATGGTTAGAAGCAATGCGGCTAAATGCGCACCAGCGAAATGCATGGTTTTCAAAGCGCGATCTTTTAAGGGTCGACAGGAGTGACGGGCAAACTCCGAATTGACATTGGAGACCTCGCGCGGTGAAAATGTGAAACTCAGGTTTCAGGGTTACCAACGCTGAGGAATGAATTCTCAGTCTCGATGTATAGGTGTATGTCTGTATACGTACACACACGATTGCATTGCTCGCGTGGACGCACCGTGGAGAGGAAAGATAGAAAAGGATCAACGATCACGCTATCCTTGTTCCTCTAGCGTATCGCTTTACGGCCGAGATATGGCCTGAAAATGCTTTCTGGCCTCTCGTAGCAGAAAGCAGTAATGCAACAAGACTAATGGGCGCCCACTTTTTATAAATTTTATGTTTACTTATGCGCATATGTACAGATATATACCAATAGTATATAGAAATGTTACATATGTTTCAAAATTGCACAATGATAAATAATATTAGTAGAATAATAGCTAATAGAGTGAACTAATATACAACGTGTAAGAGATACGGGCACTTCTTAGACTTGGCAATTTATTGCTTTTTTACTTGTTGCTTTTTCATCGATACACACCCGAGTAAGCAATTTGATAACAAATTGTTGTCAAATTGGCATCAAATTCGCTCAAAACTTGGTAACAAATCCAGTGTCATCTGTGTCCGCATTAAGCTTCCCAGACAGCACATGTCCCTAAAAGACATCTAAAAGACGGTTTAAAGACGTCTTAGTGTCCTTTAGACATCTTTAAGATGTCTTTTGGTCTTCTTGTGCTGTCTGGGTTGTGTTTTGGTGACAAAGCTTGCTGACATAACCTGACAGCAAATTGACGGCAAAAACCGAGCAGAGCTTGACATGATTTGACGTCAAATTGGTGGCAAAAATCGAGCAAGATCTGCGCAGGACAATCTGACAGCAGATTGTCAGCAAAAACCGAACAAATTCTGCAGCTTTTGGCCATTCATATAAAACAGTATATTTAAATGGATTTAAAGTCTCAACCCTAAGTAACAAAATGATGATAAGTTTTGGTCATAAAATGATCATTAGATAATCAGACATTATATAAAATCATATATTAATGTGTTAAAACATATAGGTAAATTTAAATAATTTAATTTGTAAAATTAAAGATCTTTTTGGACAGAAATTGTTCGAATAAGTGAAAATCGAACAATTATTTGTCCGATTTGTCAAAAATCAGTTCAATATTTGAATTTCTTGTATAAGAATTGTGTCAAAAATTGAACTGATAGAAATATATATATTATAATATTATTAGCATTTTGCAGGCTTTATATACACTCATGACAAGAATTTGAATACGGGTATAGATAATGAATAACGCGCCGCATAGCGATAAGCGACTGAACTATTTTATAATACTTTGTGCTAAGCTGCAGATTCTGTTCGGTTTTTGCTGCCAATTTGCCATCAGATTGCGCACTTCAGACCTTGTTCAGTTTTTGCTGACAATCTGATGTCAGTCATGTCAGCAAGGTTTGCTCGGTTTTTGCCGCCAATTTGCTGTCTAGTTATGTTAGCAAGCTTTGCTTGGTTCTTGCCGGCAATCTGCCAGCTTAATCGGTAATAACAACTCTTGTACCAAATTTGTAGCCTTTTTGCTGACAATAATTTGTAGCAAGCACTTGGCAATATCTGTTAGAACAGATGTGGCTGACTGGGTATGTATGTGTGTGTATATAAATAATATATCCTTATAATGCAATTATACCTTGGTACGTCCCAGAGTGTATTGAATTCTTCCTAGAAGTGCTTTAGTCCAAATATCCACAGCTTGTATATAAAATAAAATAATTGCCAGAATCATACCACATATAAGCACTTCTGGTCTCAAAGCATAGATTCGCATAATTCTATAGAGATAATTTAATGGGCTCTTGATCCCAGTATTTAATCCAGAGGGAATGCTCACAGCAAACTTCGATACAAGCTTCATGTGTGATATATAAGTCTGTGTGAATTATAAACAATTTAGATTTTTAAGTGGTTTAAATAGATAATATAATATCGAAGAGGCACACTTTTTCTTTTATAGAATGCATCTGAAATTTATGATATATTTGTTTATTAAAATAAAATAAAACTTTTTTATATGTATGTATAGGTATATATATATACAGGGTGTCCCAAAGCACCTTTGACAACGCTCGTGAGCAGGTAGAGCACAGTAAACTGAACAGAAAACTCCTGTACAATTTAAGAATTTTTAACATTAAATATCTTAATGTGTTCAAAACTGAATCTCTATTTAAGTTGTAGAAGTAATTAAAAATGAGATCAATTTATATATATGAAAAGGTTTACTTATCAGGCATTTCTAATTTTCAATATCTTTGGAAACTTTTACTAAAAGATCTTTAATTTTGAATTTATGTTCTGAGTTATATACATTTATAATTATATGTCAAAATTAAAATAATTTGATATTTATTGAAGTATTGTCTATATTACGTTCTTATTAAAGACTGGTATGCAAACATCTCAGAGCAAAATTTAATTAAAAAAATAATTGACTAATTATTTGCTTATGACCAACAAATTAATTAATTTATTTCTTAGTTTTAAAGGAATTTGTTTGTTTCTCTCTCTCTCTCCCTTTCTGTCTCTCTCTCTCTCTCTCTCTCTCTCTGTGTGTATCTGTATTAAACAAAAGACTATAACCTAAAGTAGAATAGTGATTCCTTAAAAGTCAGGCTTGCTTAATCCAGATACTTAATACAACGACAATAGACGAATAATTTTGAATACTTAATTAAGACAATTAATAAAAAATTTAGAATGTTTAGAGAGAGTCATTAGAAAAAATATATGTAACTCTTAATCTTTATGTTAAATAAATTTTAGTTAAACTAAAATATAACATACTATGTGCACCACATTATGTTACAACTCAATAAAATTATTTAGAAAGTTTATTTTTAAACTCATTTTTATGTAATATTATTTCTTTACCTGATATAGAATTAGATCTTCAAGCTCGTCGTCCATAATATTTTGATGAATTCTGAATTATTCTTGTGTGTATTATTAATTGTGAGTGCCTATGTCGAACAGTATATGTGTGAATAACTGGATTTACTTCTTCGTTTGGTACTAACACTGGATTAGCAATATAAAAACATGGCATATACAGGTTGATTCTAAAGGTTACTGACAAACTTCAGGAGGAGCAGGAATTATAGGATAGCAACTTCTGACTTTTGACTAGGAACGTAAGGAACAAAGAGTAGAAAATAACAGGAATGAGCATATCGGTAATGGGAGTAGACTTATCGAGAACGGTAGTATGTTACGCAGCCATCTTGATCGTCCACTTTTTTGACGTTTTTCAGGGCCGTGTACAGCCACTTGTTGCCTTACTTGTTCCAATCTGCACTTATTTTGCGCACGATCACCAATTCTAAATAAGTGAGAGGAAGAGCCAGTATTAGACAAAAAAATATTATTAATAAGTGTTAATTGTAAGATCATGGTGCATTGCCAGGTCTTTGGGGTACTTCCAGTATCTCTGTCATGCTGCAATTCGTTCTTGAGCGTCCATTTTGACCGTCCACTTATATATAGTCACTTCCGTCCGCTCGCTTAACACCAAATGTTCATTCCTATTATTCTTTACTTTTTGGTAAGGAACTACATTGTGGACAACATACCAATGAGAGAAATAATCTTAATTTGAACAAAATTTAATAACTAAGTAAAGGTTACATGTTACCTGTTATACACAATATAATAATACTGTACAATATTACAGAGAGAAGCCTGAGAGCGGCAATGTCGACGATTTTCGTGGGATGCTTTGGGCCCGAGCACAGACTTTTCTTTTGCATAAGTGCATAACCATAAGCATAAGGAAATTGATTGGTCCATAAGTATATGCATAAGGAAATGGACCAATCAATTTCCTTAGTGCCGGTCTACAATAGATGATTTAAGCCCTAAGCCTTAAGAAATTGACCAATCACAATCAAGTATGAGGAGAATACTTGACTGTGATTAGTCAATTTCTTAAGGCTTAGGCATGAAGGAAGAGTACGGAGAGTTATCTACCTAGATTGGAAATGGTCACGAAAAATGTTCCGTATGTGGCCAGGTTTGCCAAATGGAATGACTTGGACCAATTCGTCGCCATCTTGAATATTCGTACAAATATAGTGTTATGTTTAGTTGATTAGTGATCAGTAAATGTGTTGAATGACACACTACTTACTAATTACTACTACAACTAAACGTAATACTCTACATATACGAATATTCAAGATGGCGACGAATTGGTCCAAGTCATTCCATTTGGCAAACCTGGCCACATACGGAACATTTTTCATGACCAACTTTTTTCCTTTCAGATAACTCTCCGTACTCTTCCTTCATGCCTAAGCCTTAAGAAATTGACTAATCACAGTCAAGTATTCTCCTCATACTTGATTGTGATTGGTCAATTTCTTAAGGCTTAGGGCTTAAATCA